CTTCAGGGGAACATGAGCCTAAATTCCTCTATAAATGACGTTGCAAAACGGAATCACACCGATGATACATGGCCTCAGTTTTTACATACAAGGCTTAGTTTTTATTCATAAAATAACTTGCGGAAATGGAAAATGACAAAAAATACGATTATGATTTAGATTAGTTTATAATATATATCCTTCTAAAGTTCTGTGTTTTATAAATCCCTAAAATTTTCATGTTAATACATCTATACCAATTTGTTTACAATTTTTTAAAAATAATAATACTGCCCTACATCGGATTTTGAGAGCCAAAGTTTAATATTTATAGACACCGGACTAGTGAGGCTATTAAGGAAATCTAAGAATACTTCAAAATTGGAATATTCGAAGTAATTTTAGTTGAGCAACTACTTTGAAACTTGTAATTCCAATTATTTTTTGTCAAACTTATAGAATATCAAAATATTTATCTAACTAAAATACTTTGAATTTTAAAGTTCTGAAGAATTTCCTCAACTAAAATACTTCAAAATTTCAAATTGCAAGTATTCTTATGGCTCCTTACAATATAAATGTTAAACTTTGGATTCTCAAAAATCCAAAGTAGTAGCGAGATCGTTATTTATGAGAAATTACAAACAAATTGCATACAAATTTGCTAAAATGACAATTTTGAGGATTTTTAAATAATGGGACTTCATGAGGATACTCACGTAAATCACTCTAAAAGGTCTTGAGAATAATGCCCTTACCTTAGTGTACGCCTTTTTGAATTAGTAAAACAATTTTCTTAAAAACATTTCTCATGATTTTCAATTTTCTTTCGGTTTTCGTTATTTTACCTTTGACTCCATATTTTCCCTTTTTATGGGTAAGCCTAGTTTCTGATACAACGGTCATTACTGTTGCAAAATAGAAACGCGCCAGCTCCGATCCGTTACGTTATACCCGTTTTTTCTGAACATTAACAAAACAAGGCAAAATTGCAAATGGGTAATTTTCCGATCACTCTCTTGTAACCTGGTTTCTGAAACTACTTTTGAGTTGTTATTCTACGAAATTGGAGTTAGTTCAGAGCAGAGAGCAATCAATTTCTATTTAATTGGTTTTTTTTTTTTTGCTTTATTTTGCGCATTCAATCTAGGGTTTCAAGAACCAGTACACAACAATGGGTGTGGTGATCCAGAACCAAGTATGGGAGCCACCCCCTTGGCTCAATCTCTTCCTCTTCTCCTCTTCTTTCGTCTCCATTTTTGGGTTTACTTTCTTCTCTAACAATGCCAACCCATCAACTGCTTTCGATCTTGGAAGCTCTCATTCTCTTTCTTCCATCTTTCTAAGATTTCAAAGGACCTTCTTGGCTATATACTCGCTTGTTTCAGGTGGGTGCTCTCCTACCTCTTTCTTTTACTTCATGCAATAATAACGGTGGTCGATAATGGTTCTTTCTGTTACTGATTTGGTTTTTCATTTATCACACTGTTTTTCAGTGCTTGAGGGGCTACAATCTGTTTATGGAGAGGTTGAGTACAGTTATTATGGTTTTACAAGGGATCAGATGTTCATGGTTGTTCTCTATGGGTTTATTGTTTGCACTTCTGTTGGTACTTTTTTGGGTTTCTTTGCTAGTTCCATGTGAGTGAACTTCTTTCCTTGCTTCATCTGGGTTTATTATGTTGTATATGATATCCTTGTTTTTTTCCATTTTCAAATTGGTGTTGCCATTGGTGATGGTCTTTTAACCATGGTGATCTGTGTTTTAGCTTTTGTTGATATGTGGGCATATTGTGATGCTTGATGAAACAGTTTGTTGTGGGTGTTAATGATGTCAAATCTATGTTATCATTGAGCTCGTTTGGGATCATTTGCAGAAATTTTAATTTTATTTTTTTCAAGAATTGTAGTGGAAGGTATCCAAATTAGTAATCACATGGATGATAACACTATAGGATTGAAAATAAGACAAAGTTCTTATGAGAACCAATATGCAATGTGCTTGTTTAAATGACACACGTTGAGAACAGCACTCGGAAAGAAAAGAATCAGATCAGAAATCCTTCTTAAATACCTCGATAAGAAAGTTATTTTTTGTGTAATTTTTACCAGTGTTATCGTCTCAAATGTTTGTTTTTTTGGTGGATATAAGTATTTAGCTTATGAGTTTTAGGAGAATGAGTATTTGGGCTTCTGATAAAATTGTCTGGCTTTTGTAGGGATCAGAAGAAGGCTTGTGTTATATGTTGCATTTTCCATCTCGTTGCATCTGTCTTAAAGGGTTTGGCTAAGCTTCCATTATTGTCTAGTATCTGTTCAGCGATAGCATCATTTGTATTTTCCTACAGTTTTGAAGCATGGATGGTATCTGAGATTGAGAAGGTTAGTATCTAACAAAATTACTCTATATTCTAGCTCTTCCTAAGAGTGATATGCTAATCCAATTCACTCTTTTTTATGAATTAAATTTCCTTTGTTTTTCAGCTCGGTTTTCGACGTGACTCTCTAAATGAAATGTTTTGGTTAATGACATTTTGGGAATCTGTTGCTCTCATTGGAAGCCAAGTGATAGCGAATTGGTTGATCAGTGGGAATATTGAGAATGGGGTGGTTTTCCCATCAGCTGTTGCTGCTTATATGGCTATCGCATGTTTGATTTGCATTGGCAAAGGTTGGAAAACAAGTGTTTTCACTTCAGTATCAAAGAGCCATGAGATGGCTTTTTCTCCTCCAATTCTCATTGGTAGGCACTAATTCTTTTCATAAAGTTGAAGACTACTCCAACTTTATGTGTTATGTCAGTTTCATGTAGAAGTCTCCTTACCGTAACATACATTCTAGTTTCCCTTTTGCCAAAAACTTTCATGTGGTTTTTTTATGATCGTCCTTGGTTGATTTTTTTTGGAATTTTCAATAAAATCTTATGATACCTGTCACTAAATTATTCGAATATATACCTTTTAGATTTTTGTTGATCAGAAATAATTGTTGTGTGGCAGATAAGAGGGTATATTTATTGGGAGTAGCACAAGCATGTGTTCACTTTGCTCTGACTATCTTCTGGCTACTTTGGACACCTACCATAGTGGTACTTACTGAATTTGACATATTTTCCTCTTTATCCTATTATGCATTTTTGTATCGGGTGAGACTATGCATTACTTAGCAAGGTTTTAGAAAGTATTAGGCAGCTCCTAGTCGGCCAGGGGAGACTAGCAGGCTACACAGGCACCTCGGATTGGAGGCATCACAGCCATACATATATGCATATATTATGTAACATACAAAGATATACATATATTGTATGTTACTGTATTAAATTACAAAGGGCGCGGTTAGCATGCAGCCAGCCCGCATATTGTAGAAATGCAGGCTTGGCAATAAATTTATTTTTTAAATATAATTTGATCCTAATTTTTAGAAAATATATAATCTTTAACATAGAGATCATGTATATGAAAAAATTAATAAATTTTGAAAACTAGAAATAATAATTATATAAGAAAACATTTGGACTGTTAGTTACAATTGTTTTTAGATGGACCACCTATTTGCATCCATCTCTAAGATGGATGCTTTATACCTCTAGACCGCTTATTGTAGAAATGCGGTCCAGCCTGCATGAAACAATTGTTCAATTGCATATCATGCAGGTAACATGGGGGGGCTTTAATATGATGGGAAGACCAAAATGCCCAAGGCCCAAGAACATTTTTTGCCTGCAGGCCAAGGCAAACCCCTGGGGGGGGGAGGCAGGTGCTTTATAGAACACTATATCTTTGATTTTGATGTCTAGAAAAATCAAGCAAGGAGTTGTATGCTATAAATAATTAAATACCCTTAAGTATACTGAGCATGTTTATTTTATAACCACAAAATTAACAGGATTTAATATTGTGATTGTTGTGTTTTTTTCTTGTTTCTTTTTATTTCAAATGGAAGAAGGATTTGCTACTCAACTTGGCTATAGGTGTTAAATGATGCATGTGCATAGATTAGAGCAACTATTATTTGGTTACAGCCTTCTCTTGCTCGCATATTCCAAGCATTGTTACATAAACACCGACATAGGTATTGTATTAAGTAACGCATCTCAAGTGTTTAGCATGTTAACCCACAAATCCAGTACGACGCTAACACATCCATAAGATCATATATATGTATATATATAGGAAAAAGCTGGGATTAGCCCACTAGGTCATATGAACATATGAGCCCGGCTCAGATTGAATTTGGGCCGATCTGACTCTCACGGATATCCGGTAGTGTTTGAATTTTGTTTTTTTCTACAAATCCAAATCACTTGAAATTTTAGGCGTGTG